GGTGCCGTTGCATGGTGCCGTTGCATGGTGCCGTTGCATGGTGCCGTTGCATGGTGCCGTTGCATGGTGCCGTTGCATGGTGCCGTTGCATGGTGCCGTTGCATGGTGCCGTTGCATGGTGCCGTTGCATGGTGCCGTTGCATGGTGCCGTTGCATGGTGCCGTTGTGAATGGCTGTCAGACTCCACTCTGCGAGGCACATCGATCTGCAGGTTGAACATGGTCAGATTGTAGACTCCTAAATTGATAGCGTCGTTTGTTTAGGCGAGTTTACAGCTAACTAGCTACTTCACATGCTGATATTGTCTTTGGTATTATTGTGTGTAGGTAAGTTTGCTAGCCAGCTAGCCAGCGCATAGAGAAAACATTGCATGGTGGGTTTTGTAGCCGACTTGAGCTGCAACAGATAAAGAACAGAGTAGCACGTTGCTACCAACCTTATAATAATGACAAAATTGAACATTTGTTCACAAAAAATATTGTTCTCACATATTAGTGTTATTTAATACTGTACATTATAGGAATTAGTGGTTTTGGGTGGATCTTTCCTTTAACTAACAGAAAAAGTGCTCTGTTCCCTTTTTCTTGATGGCAGCCTCACAAAATGTACATCCGCATTCCAAAATATAGATTGACATTTACATGTTAGCCATTTAGCAGACGCTGTTATCCAGAGCAACTTACAGTTAGTGCATTTATGTTAAGATAGCTAGGTGGGACAAGCCAATATCAAAGTCATAGTAACTACATATTTCCTCAATAAAGTAGCTATCAACAAAGTCAGAGCTAGAAATACAAATAAATGGAGGTAGTGTTAGCGGTAGCGTTACGAGGTAGTGTTAGTCCCCTGTAGCTCAGTTGGTAGAACATGGTGCTTGCAATGCCATGGTTGTGGGTTCGTTTCCCACGGGGGGGGCCAGTATGAAAAATATATGCACTCACTAACTGTAAGTCGCTCTGGATAAGAGCGTCTGCTAAATGACTAAAATGTAAATGGTAGTGTTAGAAGTAGCGGTAGCATTAGTGGTAGTGTTAGTGTTAGTGGTAGCGGTAGCATTAGAGGTAGAGGTAGTGTTATCATTAGCGGTAGTGTTAGCAGTAGCATTAGAGGTAGTGTTAGCGGTAGCATTAGAGGTAGTGTTAGCGGTAGCATTAGAGGTAGTGTTAGCGGTAGCATTAGAGGTAGTGGTAGTGGTGGTGTTAGAGGTAGCATTAGTGGTAGTGTTAGCGGTAGCATTAGTGGTAGTGTTAGCGTTAGTGTTAGCGGTAGCATTAGATGTAGTGGTAGCATTAGTGTTAGCGGTAGCATTAGAGATAGTGGTAGTGTTAGCGGTAGCATTAGAGGTAGTGGTAGTGTTAGTGTTAGCGTTAGTGTTAGCAGTAGCATTAGAGGTAGTGGTAGTGTTAGCGGTAGCATTAGAGGTAGTGTTAGCGGTAGCATTAGTGGTAGCGGTAGCATTAGAGGTAGTGGAGGTGTTAGCGGTAGCATTAGTGTTAGCGGTAGCATTAGAGGTAGTGGTGGTGTTTGCAGTAGCGTGTTAGTTCACGAAAGGCATTCTTTTTTCCTTCTTTCTTTTGGGGGGGCTATGAGAAGAGTGTGCGAGGGGGGTGAGAATGGGGTGAGAAGGGGGGGTGCTGTGGGATTATTTAAGATACTCTTTGAAGAGGTAGGGTTCAGGGACTCTGCTGTCCTAGCTTCAGGGGGAAGGTGGTTCCACCATTGGGGTGCCAGGACAGAAAAGAGCTTGGACTGGGCTGAGCGGGAGCGGGAGCTGCCCTCCCATAGGGGTGGGAGGGCCAAGAGACCAGAGGTGGCAGAAAGGAGTACTCGGGTTGGGGTGTAGGGTTTGACCATAGCCTGAAGGAAGGGAGGATTAGAATTAGGACCTGCGCCGCTTCCTGTGTGAGGTAGGGTCGTACTCTACGGATGTTGTAGAGCATCAACCAGCAGGAGCAAGTCACGGCTTTGATGTTTGCTGAGAAGGACACGGTGTTGTCCAGGGGTCACACCAAGGGTCTTTACACTCTGGGAGGGGGACACCGTGGAGCTGTCGACCATGATGGAGAGGCCTTTACACTCTGGGAGGGGGACACCGTGGAGCTGTCGACCATGATGGAGAGGCCTTTACACTCTGGGAGGGGGACACCGTGGAGTTGTCAACCATGATGGAGAGGCCTTTACACTCTGGGAGGGGGACACCGTGGAGCTGTCAACCGCTATGGAGAGGCCTTTACACTCTGGGAGGGGGACACCGTGGAGTTGTCAACCATGATGGAGAGGCCTTTACACTCTGGGAGGGGGACACCGTGGAGCTGTCAACCATGATGGAGAGGCCTTTACACTCTGGGAGGGGGACACCGTGGAGTTGTCAACCATGATGGAGAGGCCTTTACACTCTGGGAGGGGGACACCGTGGAGTTGTCAACCATGACGGAGAGGCCTTCCCCAGGAGGAAGAGCAGCTCCGTTTTGTTGAGGTTGAGCTTGCGGTGAGGGGCTGACATCCAAGCTGAGATATCTGCCAGGTACGCAGACATGCGTGTCGCCACCTGGGTGTCAGAAGGGGGGAAGGAGAAAAGTAGTTGAGTGTCATCCGCAAAGCAATGATAGGAGAGACCATGTGAGGATATGATGGAGCCGAGTGACTTGGTGGATAGAGTGAAGAGGAGAGGGCCTAGAACCGAGCCCTGGGGGACACCAGTAGTGAGAGTACGTGGTGCAGACACAGATCCTCTCCACGTCACCTGGTAGGAGCGGCCTGCCAGGTAGGACGCATGCCTCCTACAAGTTCTCATCTAACCAACCATGTATAGGTTAGTTTCCGTGTAAGTTTCCGTGTGGCCTTTGAATAGTGTTAGTTTAAACAGCACTACACCCCAAACGTTTGCCCCGTTCTATTGATTGCAGCATGATATCGATGGAAGTGATTAACAAAACATTACACTTACCGCGTTGTCGAAACCCACTTGAATCAAAATGCAACACTTCAAAATGCAGCTAGCTGTCTTCTACAAGTTGTTCTCTAACCAGTGATGTACACATTATTCCCAGATTCTGTGTGGTTTTTGAGCTGTGTCAGTTTTAACAGGACGTGCGACCTCATCTCCCGCGCAATGAGTGATTAACAAAACAGTGTTGCGTTTCTCTTTCTGTTTTGGTGACCCCCCCCGGTATCAAAATGTAACATTCCAAAATGTAGCAGGCTGTTCTGCAGATCTCCAGTTTCCATGTGGTTTTTGAGTTGTGGTAGTTTCAACAACGCATATCCCCCCGCTAATCGATGAGGAACTTATTGCCACTTGTCAAATCAACAGGGTTTTTGGTGTGTGTGCAGTTTATAAAGGTGCTCGTTTACAAAAATGAAAGTAATATGATTACTGTTGTTGCACATGTATGTGTAGATAGTAAATTGTATGTTTAGGTTTTCAATATAATCACGACTATTTCTGCATATTGATTATTAATTTGACCCTTTAAACAGTGTTTTGACCTTGGGCTATTTATTAATATTTATTAATGTTCAACTTAAATATTAGGAATATAAATGGAGCTTTACTTAATCCAGTAAAAACTGCTGAATGAGTCCAAACGTGCTGGGACTGATGTAATTTGATGATAAAATCACCTAAACGTTTCGCCCTGCCTATTAATAGCAAAGAGCCATTTCTCAAGTAATAATTTTGATAGGACTGTCTGGAAGTGATCTGAAGTGGGGGAAAACTGAAAAGTACCTGTTACAGAGCCCAGTACATCACTGGGGCCTCTATACCAGGCGGTGTCAGAGGAAGGCTCCCTGCCATCCAGGACCTCTATACCAGGCGGTGTCAGAGGAAGGCCCTCAAAATTGTCAAAGACTCCAGCCACCCTAGTCATAGACTGTTCTCTCTGCTACCGCACGGCAAGCGGTACCGGAGTGCCAAGTCTAGGTCAAAAAGACTTCTCAACAGCTTCTACCCCCAAGCCATAAGACTCCTGAACTGCTAATCATGGCTACCCGGACTATTTGTAACTATGATAAAAATTACAGACCTCTACATGCTTTGTAAGTAGGAAAACCTGCAAAATCAGCAGTGTATCAAATACTTGTTCTCCCCACTGTATATAAACACAGGAAAATCACAGTTGACTGCACAGACAGACAGAAAGAGAGAGAGAGGAGAGAGAGAGTGGGTGAGGAGAGAGAGAGAGAGTGAGGAGAGAGAGAGAGAGAGAGAGGAGAGAGAGACAGACTGTACAACAGATCAATGTAGGCCAAGCGTTCTTTCTGCCATTAAACGTCCCAACGCCTCACTACCCAGCGGCCTAACTTGGTGAGTGTATCGTAGCGCGTTACAGTTGTATGTTCATTCATGCATCGTGTCAGTATTGTCATCTGTGGAGAACAGAGCCATCGTCCACCAAGAACAGGGCAACATACTGCACTGTAGTTATTATCACAACATTACTGGGACGGCTGCATCTGAAATAACACTCCTAGTTAATATACTACATAACATAGGATAATATTGTAAGATTACATGGCCAGATCCTAGATCAACATGCACTGAGAGTGGGACAGTAGGAGTAGCTATATGAGCTGGTCTCTTCTGTTTAATTAAGAAGTTAAACCCCAACAACGCTCACTGATACTGATGCAGTCATAGTCAGAGAAGTTTCAGCGTCAAGGACGGCCAGGGAATCCACAAACGTGCGTCAAACCCCCGCAGCGGTGTACCTGTCGCCCACTACCTGAGAGAGAGAGAGAGAGAGAGAGGAAGAGCCCTGTTATCTCACCTTGCTGACTTTACTGGCGTCTGCCCCCATCTGGTCTGTCTCTCTCAGCTTGTTGTCATGCACCACGACCACGACACTACTCCTTCATCATCATCCTCCTCATCCCAACTCAAACATCGTCCCATCCGCTTCCACTATGCGCTACACACACCCCTCACTCACACACACGGATTCTCTGCAACCCGGCGACTACACTATTCCCGGCCCTCGGTAATAAAACATTAGAAGCTAGTCCTTCCTAAAGTCTTCCACCATGTTGTCGTCGTCAGCAGCAGACATGGCGACATAAACAAGATAATCCCTTCTGTAGGACACGTCACCCCCTACACCCGCCCACATGTCACTTGTCCAATCAGACTGGGAGCTGGCAGCGTTACACCCGCCCCCTCCTCGCTCCCCAGCCCCGCCCTCTCAAAGGAGATTCTCCAACTGTCCTTATAAACGCTTGCATTTTTTTTATAAATACAGAGAAAACACAGTAAAGACAATTTACCAACGTGATAAAAATGAATATTCTGTTGTTCAGCTGTTAATGTAATGTAGTTGGCAGATGAATTTGAATCTGGCCCTTCATTGGACACTGTGTTAACAAACCTCCAAACGAGCTTCAATGCCATACACACTCCTTCAGTAGCCTCCAACTGCTCTTAAACACTAGTAAAACTAAATGCATGCTTTTCAATCGAACGCTGCTGGCACCCGCCCACCCGACTAGAATCACTACTCTCGGCGGGTCTGACCTAGAGTATGTGGACAACTACAAATACCTAGGTGTCTGGTTAGACCGTAAACTCTCCTTCCAGACTCACATTAAGCATCTCCAATCAAAAGTTAGATCTAGAATCGGCTTCCTATTTTGCAACAAAGCCTCCTTCACTCATGCTGCCAAACATGCCCTCGTAAAACGGACTATCCTACCGATCCTTGACTTCGGCGATGTCATTTACAAAATAGCCTCCAACACTCTACTCAGCAAATTGGATGTAGTCTATCACAGTGCCATCCGTTTTGTCTCCAAAGCCCCATATACTACCCACCACTGTGACCTATACGCTCTTGTTGGCTGGCCCTCACTACATATTTGTCGCCAAACCCACTGGCTCCAGGTCATCTATAAATCACTGCTAGGCAAATCCCCGCCTTATCTTAGCTCATTGGTCACCATAGCAGCACCCACCCGTAGTCTGCGCTCCAGCAGGTATATCTCACTGGTCATTCCCAAAGCCAACACCTCCTTTGGCCGCCGTTCCTTCCAGTTCTCTGCTGCCAATGACTGGAACGAATTGCAAAAATCTCTGAAGCTGGAGACTCTTATCTCCCTCACTAACTTTAAGCATCAGTTGTCAGAGCACCTTACCGATCACTGCACCTGTACACAGCCCATCTGTAATTAGCCCACCCAACTACCTCATCCCCATATTTACATTTACATTTACGTCATTTAGCAGACACTCTTATCCAGAGCGACTTACAAATTGGTGCATTCACCTTATAGCCAGTGGCATAACCACTTTACAATATTTTTTTTTTTTTTTTTTTTTTTTTTTTGCTCATTTGCACCCCAGTATCTCTATTTGCACATCATCTTCTGCACATCTATCACTCCAGTGTTAATACTAAATTGTAATTATTTTGCACTATGGCCTATTTATTGCCTTACCGCCATAACTTGCTACATTTGCACACAATGTATATATATTTTCTGTTGTATTTTTGACTTTATGTTTTGTTTACCCCATATGTAACTCTGTGTTGTTGTTTTTATCGCACTGCTTTGCTTTATCTTGGCCAGGTCGCAGTTGTAAATGAGAACTTGTTCTCAACTGGCTTACCTGGTTAAATAAAGGTGAAATAAAATAAAATAAAATAAAATACTTTCCGAATGCACTGTATAGTCCAGTGAGTGTGCGTAGGGTCAGTGCAAGATAGGGTCAGTGCAGATTGTCCGGGTAAACATTAGTTAGCAAAGCCCAAAAATCGTTGAAGTTGCTTACGGGTGGTGGGTGTGGGCCATTCCGTCACTGCCCGGATCTTCTCGGGGTCCGCCTTCACCTGCCCGCTCTCAATGATGAAACCAAGGAACGATGTAGACTGTTTGTGGAACTCACACTTTTCTGCTTTGACGTACACCAAGAGCCGTTGAAGGACTTGACGGACGTGTGACTCATGCTCCTCGGGTGACTTGGAAAAAACAAGAATATCATCCAGGTATACAAAGACAAAACGGTTCAAAAAATCCCTAAGAACATCGTTCACCATGGCTTGGAATACAGCAGGGGCGTTTGAGAGCCCAAAGGGCATGACCAAATACTCAAAATGCCCCAGTGGAGTGTTGAAAGCGGTTTTCCACTCATCTCCCTTTCGGATTCTGACAAGGTGATAAGCGTTCCTGAGGTCGAGCTTGGAGAAAACTGTGGCGCCATGCAGAGGTTCAAAAGCTGAGTTGATGAGTGGAAGGGGATACTTGTTTTTAACAGTTATGTTGTTTAAACCCCTGAAATCGATACAGGGGCGTAACGACTTGTCTTTCTTTTCAACGAAAAAGAAACCTGCACCCAAAGGAGACGACGAGGGACGGATTATGCCCGAGGCCAGAGAATCACCAATATACTGCTCCATTGCCTCTCTTTCCGGTCGGGACAGATTGTATAAGCGACTAGAGGGCAAGGGAGCACCAGGAAGCAGTTCAATAGGGCAATCATAAGGCCTATGTGGTGGTAGAGACAGAGCCTTGTCCTTACTGAAAACCTCCGCTAAGTCATGGTATTCTTTGGGGACAGATGACAGATCGAGAGGAGCTGAGGGATGAGTTGGGTTACACTTAGTGGGGGGAACCGCTGATCTAAGGCACTCCGAATGGCAGTTAGTGCTCCAACTGAGAATGGTGTGACGTGTCCAATCAATTTGTGGGTTGTGAAGAGCCAACCAGGGGAAGCCAAGGATTAGGGGGGTAGCTGAGCCAGACATAACTCTTAACTGAATGCTTTCACAATGATTGCCAGAAATCACTAGGGAAACGGGGGTGGTTTGATGAGTTATCTCCGCGAGGAGGCGCCCATCAAGGGCTGTGACCCGAATGGGGGTAGGTAGTGGCTCCATGGGGATACGAGCTTGTGTAACGAACTGGTGGCTAATAAAGTTGTCTTCTGCACCTGAGTCTATGAGAGCTGAGAGTGGCAGGGAATGACTCTGGAAACGTAAGGTTACAGGTACTTGTAATTGGGGAATGATGGGTTCAGGATCTAACTCTGGGCTCGCAAGTAGACCCACCGTTACGAGCGAGCCTTGTCTTTTGGTCGCTTAGGGCATGTAGCCAGAATGTGTGTGGCGTCTCCACAGTACAGGCACTCACCCGCCTGGAGGCGCCGTTGCCGCTCTGCTGGAGGTAGTTGAGCTCGACCCACTTGCATTGGTTCCTCCTCTGTGCTCGGGATGGGATCAGGAACAAGAAGCTGCCGGCTCCGGGGAGGCGAGACTCGAGTGGTTGAAGGCTGGGGAACTCGTCCTCCTAGATGTGGCCGACCGCCTCTCTCCCGACGCCTCTCCCGCAACCGGTTGTCTAGCTTAATGGACAGGGAAACGAGAGAATGTAAATCATGTGGCTCGTCACGAGCAGCCAGTTCATCCTTAATGGCTTCATTCAAACCGTTTAGAAATGCTCCTTGAAGTGCCACATTGTTCCACTTGGAGTCCGCTGCCAAAGTCCAGAACTCAATAGAGTACTCAGCCACACTGTTAGAACCCTGCCTCAAATTAGAAAGTCTCTTGGAGGATTTACCCACATGGTCAGGATGGTCAAAAACAGTCTTCAATTTAGCAGAAAAATCAGCAAAAGTCAATCCAGTCAAAGTTTGATTTGAGCACACAGCCTCAGCCCAAACCAGAGCTCTCCCTCTTAACAGCCCCAGAACATAATGTACCTTAGAGGAATCAGTAGAAAACGACAGTGGTCTCTGCCGAAAAATCAAGTCACACTGAAGCAAAAATCCCCGGCACTTGTCCAATTCTCCATTGAACGGTTCAGACGACGTGACAGGGGGTTCCCGACGGAACGAAGCCTGCATAATGTCAGAGGAAACAACTTGGGGTGCATCAAACTGGGGGTCAGAGAGAGATGGAGAACTGATAACAGACAATTTAGAGACTTGTGTTGTTAACTGAGTCACCTGGTTCAGCAGTTGATGATTATTTTCCAAAAGAGTCCGAATCAATTGGTCATGCTGTCCTAGCAACGTTCCTTGAGCCTGGATAGCTTGTTGGAAGCTGTCTTTGTTTGCCCCGTGCTGTTTCTCTGTTGGGTCCATGGCCAGATCGTTCTGTTAAGCTATGGTTAAACCCAGCACTCAGAGAAACAAAACACGACTAAGGGAGTGGAAGAAACAAAAATTATTTTAATAAAAGTTCAATTTGTCTTAGTCCAAAAACAACTAAGGAAAAGGAACAGAGTGGGCTAGTCGGCTCCGGAGGAAGGAGAGGCTGAGGCAGGCAGGCAGGCAGGCAGGCAGGTTGGGAGGTATGTCTGAACTGAAGACAAAACAAATGACAGGTTAAGGTGAGTAAAGAGCCAGGCTGAAGACAAAGACAATTTAACTCTACTGGTGAGCCAAGTTACCGCTCTAGTAAGAACAACGATCTGGCGCCGGTGGAGAGCCATGCCCAGGAATTAGTAGTGCAGGTTGATGAGAGAATAGGATGCAGCTGCGTAGGCAGGAATCACTGGAAACAACCCGCAGCTGCACAGGAGAGGCAGATCCTGAGCACGCCCCCCGATCCACTCCAGACACACACACATAATGGGGACAAACACACATACAGATACAACAGACAAAGAGGGGACAAAACAAGGAGGAAGGGAAACAGAAAAGGGAGAGACAAGCTGCCCACATAACAGTTCCATTCAGCTATGGCTCTATATAAACTGTAGATTTAAGGTGATTTGTCCTTGGCTTGCGTTGTCTTAGATGCCCTGAATATACTTATATATATATATAATATACCTGATTCAGAATGCTAGATGCTACATACTCTGAACATTTTCTTGTAACAGCAATTCCCTTACCCATCTGTGTGTGTGTGTGTGTGTGTGTCAGTGTCTGTGTATCAGTGTGTGTGTGTGTATCCGTGTTTTTATAGTTTGGGGGGACATAGTCCCGCGCTGAATAGCAGCCTCCCTCGTGATTGGCTGCCACTAGTGGCTGTCTCTGGTGAAAATATTTCCGGACATTTCTGAAGGACAACTTGGATCCATGCCAGGCAAGACCATTTAAAATGAATCCATCATCTTCCATGGGTAAGTTATATGTAGTAATGTAATTAGTTGTGTTTGAGAGTGATGAGCTACTGTAGCCATATAGTATATAAACCCAGCTAATGGCGATTCACTTCAAATCAAATCAAATTGTATTTGTCACATACACGTGTTTAGCAGATGTTATTGCGGGTGTAGCGAAATGCTTGTGCTTCTAGCTCCGACAGTGCAGTAATATCTAACAAGTAATATCTAACAATTTCACAACATATACCCAATACACACAAAACTATCTGGCCTTGAGATAGAAGCTGTTTTTCAAAACTAGTAAGGAATGGGATTTAAGAATATATACATATATGGACAAGCAATGACAGAGCGGCATGGACTAAGATACAGTAGAATATTATAGAATAGAATGCAGTATATACATATGAGATGAGTAATGCAAGATATGTAAACATTATTAAAGTGACTAGTGTTCCATTTCTTAAAGTGGCCAGTGATTTCAATAGGCAGCAGCAGCCTCTAATGTGCTAGTGATGGCTATTTAACAGTCTGATGGCCTTGAGATAGAAGCTGTTTTTCATTCTCTTGGTCCCAGCTATGATGCACCTGTACTGACCTCGCCTTCTGGATGATAGCGGGGTGAACAGGCAGTGGCTCGGGTGGTTGATGTCCTTGATGATCTTTTTGGCCTTCCTGTGACATTGGGTGCTGTATGTGTCTTGGAGGGCAGGTAGTTTGCCCCCGGCAATGCGTTCGGCAGACCGCACCACCCTCTGGAGAGCCCTGCGGTTGCGGGCGGTGCAGTTGCCGTACGAGGCGGCGATACAGCCCGACAGGATGCTCTCAATTGTGCATCTGTAAATGTTTGTGAGGGTTTTAGATGCCAAGCCAAATTTCTTCAGCCTCCTGAGGTTGAAGAGGCTCTCTCGCGCCTTCTTCACCACACTGTCTGCGTGGGTGGACCATTTCAGTTTGTCAGTTATGTGTACGCCAAGGAACTTGAAGCTTTCCACCTTCTCCACTGCGGTCCCGTCGATGTGGATAGGGGGGTGCACCCTCTGCTGTTTCCTGAAGTCCACGATCATCTCCTTTGTTTTGTTGACATTGAGTGAGAGGTTATTTTCCTTGCACCACACTCCCAGAGCCCTCACCTCCTCCCTGTAGGCGGTCTCGTCATTGTTGGTAATCAAGCCTACTACTGTTGCGTCGTCTGCAAACCTGATGATTGAGTTGGAGGCGTGCTTGGCCACGCAGTCATGGGTGAACAGGGAGTACAGGAGGGGGCTGAGTGCACCCTTATGGGGCCCCAGTGTTGAGGATCAGCGAAGTGGAGATGTTGTTTCCTACCTTCACCACCTTGGGGCGGCCCGTCAGGAAGTCCAGGACCCAGTTGCACTGGGCGGGGTTCAGACCCAGGGCCTCGACCTTAATGATGAGCTTGGAGGGTACTATGGTGTTGAAGGCTGAGCTATAGTCAATGAACAGCATTCTTACATAGGTATTCCTCTTGTCCAGATGGGATAGGGCAGTGTGCAGTGTGATGGCGATTGCATCGTCTGTGGATCTATTGGGGCGGTAAGCAAATTGAAGTGGGTCTAGGGTGGCAGGTAAGGTAGAGGTGATATGATCCTTGACTACTCTCTCAAAGCACTTCATGATGACAGAGGTGAGTGCTACAGGTCGATAGTCATTTAGTTCAGTTACCTTTGCTTTCTTGGGTACAGGAACAATGGTGGCCATCTTGAAGCATGTGGGGACAGCAGACTGGGACAGGGAGAGATTGAATATGTCCATGAACACACCAGCCAGATGGTCTGCGCATGCTCTGAGGACGCGGCTAGGGATGCCGTCTGGGCCGGCAGCCTTGCGGGGGTTAACATGCTTAAATGTCTTAATCACGTCGGCCACGGAGAAGGAGAGGCCACAGTCCTTGGTAGTGGGCCTCGTCAGTGGCACTGTGTTATCCTCAAAGCGGCGAAGAAGGTGTTTAGCTTGTCTGGAAGCGAGACATCGGTGTCGGCGACGTGGCTGGTTTTCCTTTTGTAGTCCATGATTGTCTGTAGACCCTGCCACATACGTCTCGTGTCTGGGCCATTGAATTGCGACTCCACTTTGTCTCTATACTGATGTTTTGCCAGTTTAATTGCCTTGCGGAGTGAGTAGCTACACCGTTTGTATTCTGCCATATTCCCAGTCACCTTGCCATGGTTAAATGTGGTGGTTCTCGCTTTTAGATTTGTGCGAATGCTGCCGTCTATCCACGGTTTCTGGTTAGGGTAGGTTTTAATAGTCACAGTGGGCACAACATCACCTATACACATCCTGATAAACTCAGTCACCGTGTCAGTGTATTCGTCTAAATTATTTCTGGAAGCTACCTGGAACATATCCCAGTCCGCGTGATCAAAACAATCTTGAAGCGTGGATTCCGATTGGTCAGACCAGCGTTGAATAGTCCTTAGCACGGGTACTTCCTGTTTTGAGTTTCTGCCTATAGAAAGGGAGGAGAGCAAAATGGAGTCGTGGTCAGATTTGCCGAAAGGAGGGCGTGGGAGGGCCTTATAACCATCCCGGAAGTTTGAATAGCAATGGTCGAGGACTTTAGCAGCGCGAGTACAGTCGATATGTTGATAGAACTTCGGCAGCCTAGTCCTCAAATTTGCTTTGTTAAAATCCCCGGCTACAATAAATGTGGCCTCAGGATATGTGGTTTCCAGTCTGCATAAGGTCCAGTGAAGTTCTTTGAGGGCCGTCGTGGTATCGGCTTGAGGGGGAATATACAGTGGGGAAAAAAAGTATTTAGTCAGCCACCAATTGTGCAAGTTCTCCCACTTAAAAATATGAGAGAGGCCTGTAATTTTCATCATAGGTACACGTCAACTATGACAGACATAATGAGAAAATAAATTCCAGAAAATCACATTGTAGGATTTTTTATAAATTTATTTGCAAATTATGGTGGAATTTTTCTCAATTTGTCTGTCATAGTTGACGTGTACCTATGATGAAAATTACAGGCCTCTCTCATCTTTTTAAGTGGGAGAACTTGCACAATTGGTGGCTGACTAAATACTTTTTTCCCCCACTGTACACGGCCGTGACTATAACCAAAAAGAATTCTCTTGGGAGATAATATGGTCGACATTTGATTGTGAGATATTCTAGGTCGGGTGAACAGGAGGACTTGAGTTCCTGTATGTTACTACAATTACACCATGAGTCGTTAATCATGAAACACACACCTCCGCCCTTCTGCTTCCCGGAGAAGAAGGTTAGAACTGCTTCTGTGACCAACTACAACTAGTGACTCATTGACCAGTTACTAGCGGGGCAATGCGTGGCGGTTTGATTTAAGGCCAGTCACCACAACCTCCAGTTTTTTTTATTTTGATAAGTCACCTTGTCCGAGAGAGATTGACACGGTTATCAAAACGTCACGCCAGGGTAAGTCTACATCAAACACAGCCCTTATTCAAGTGTTGCTAAAGTCCCCTATGGTAAAGATTAATGGTGGAAAAAGGATTGGAACCATGTCCCTGTTTGACCGCTAGGTTTTATGGGTATTATGACACCTCCACTGTGGGGCTCTATGGAGTGCAGTTCACCTGTATCATCTCGTAACTCTTTACAGGAACAGCATAGCCTATCCTACAGTAGTATAAGGACTGAATGTGCATCTTTACACATCTTTTGGGGGTCACCTTATTAAAAAAAAAAAATTGCAGCTGCAGAGCTTTAAAACATCCTGTCACTCGAATATCGTTGCTTAAAATGTGCGCTCACGCGAGCACTCTCTGCATACAAAATAGATAATCCTGTTCAAGATTGATGTGTGCATGTATAGATCATGTCCTAGCCTACCTCTTCCAGGTTATACATTCTATACAGTATTATCCTTGTATTTAGCTAATGAATGATGGGTTATGCATAAGCTTTTAACTAATAGCATCTCTCTTGCGCAATATGCATCTGCGCTCTGCTGGCCTCTTTCCTTAAAAACGCTCCTTAGCTCTTGGAGTCCCAGGAAAAGTTAGACTATAATAGCTTGCTGGAATTTAAAATATATATATATAATTTCTTATACTAATAGACTATTTGAAGAGGGATGCAAGCTCTTGTTTGCTGAATGTTAAATACAGCAGCCAATAGAACTCCAGAGGAGTTTGAAAGGTGAGATGGTGATGGTGGTAGACATTTTAGACCATAACCATAATTAATTATTCATGTAAAGTGAAAGCCGTCTGCATCTTATTCTAGTGCTATATTATTCATATTATTATCTATATTATTCATATTATTATCTATATTATTTATTACAAGGATGAAAATGGGGACAATGAAACTATAATTTAACTGTTGAAAGCGAGGAAGGAATGAAGCAACAATAGAGGCTAATTTTAGGAAAAGTATGTCAGCCTACTAAAGATACGCATGTAAAATGGGCCCTATTATATTTCAAAATTAATCAAATTCACTAGCCTATAATTGTAACTTTGTAGGCCACATGTCATGCACCAGCTTTGCATGTTCTCTCCCAGCTTCATGGTTTGAACGAGGTGCATCATTCCAGACCATATAGCACAGTATAGTACAGTAATACAGTCCATACTCAAAGAGATTAGCCTACAGTAGCCTGTTTCATTAATTTACCCAAGACAGCATGAAGCTACATCTATGGGCTTTTATATAGCTAGTTACATCTATGGATTTATTTATATAGCTAGTTACATCTATGGGCTTTTATATAGATAGCTACATCTATGGGCTTTTATATAGCTAGTTACATCTATGGGCTTTTATATAGATAGCTACATCTATGGGCTTTTATATAGCTAGCTACATCTATGGGCTTTATATAGCTAGCTACATCTATGGGCTTTTATATAGCTAGCTACATCTATGGGCTGTTATATAGCTAGCTACATCTATGGGCTTTATATAGCTAGCTACATCTATGGGCTTTATATAGCTAGCTACATCTATGGGCTTTTATATAGCTAGTTACATCTATGGGCTTTTATATAGCTAGTTACATCTATGGGCTTTTATATAGATAGCTACATCTATGGGCTTTTATATAGCTAGCTACATCTATGGGCTTTATATAGCTAGCTACATCTATGGGCTTTTATATAGCCAGCTACATCTATGGGCTGTTATATAGCTAGCTACATCTATGGGCTTTATATAGCTAGCTACATCTATGGGCTTTATATAGCTAGCTACATCTATGGGCTTTTATATAGCTAGCTACATCTATGGGCTTTATATAGCTAGCTACATCTATGGGCTTTATATAGCTAGCTACATCTATGGGCTTTATATAGCTAGCTACATCTATGGGCTTTATATAGCTAGCTACATCTATGGGCTTTATATAGCTAGCTACATCTATGGGCTTTATATAGCTAGCTACATCTATGGGCTTTATATAGTCAGCTACATCTATGGGCTTTATATAGCTAGCTACATCTATGGGCTTTTATATAGCTAGCTACATCTATGGGCTTTTATATAGATAGATACATCTATGGGCTTTTATATAGCTAGCTACATCTATGGGCTTTTATATAGCTAGCTACATCTATGGGCTTTTATATAGCTAGCTACATCTATGGGCTTTTATATAGATAGCTACATCTATGGGCTTTTATATAGCTAGCTACATCTATGGGCTTTTATATAGCTAGCTACATCTATGGGCTTTTATATAGCTAGCTACATCTATGGGCTTTTATATAGACAGCATAACTACATCTATGGGCTTTATATAGCTAGCTACATCTATGGGCTTTTATATAGCTAACTACATCTATGGGCTTTTATATAGATAGCTACATCTATGGGCTTTTATATAGACAGCATAACTACATCTATGGGCTTTTATATAGATAGCTACATCTATGGGCTTTTATATAGACAGCATAACTACATCTATGGGCTTTTATATAGCTAGCTACATCTATGGGCTTTTATATAGCTAACTACATCTATGGGCTTTTATATAGATAGCTACATCTATGGGCTTTTATATAGATAGCTACATCTATGGGCTTTTATATAGATAGCATAACTACATCTATGGGCTTTTATATAGCTAACTACATCTATGGGCTTTTATATAGCTAGCTACATCTATGGGCTTTTATATAGCTAACTACATCTATGGGCTTTTATATAGACAGCATAACTAAATCTATGGGCTTTTATATAGCTAACTACATCTATCGGCTTTTATATAGATAGCTACATCTATGGGCTTTTATATAGCTAGCTACATCTATGGGCTTTTATATAGCTAGCCACATCTATGGGCTTTTATATAGACAGCATAACTACATCTATGGGCTTTTATATAGATAGCTACATCTATGGGCTTTTATATAGCTAGCTACATCTATGGGCTTTTATATAGCTAGCTACATCTATGGGCTTTTATATAGATAGCTACATCTATGGGCTTTTATATAGCTAGCTACATCTATGGGCTTTTATATAGCTAGCTACATCTATGGGCTTTTATATAGCTAGCTACATCTATGGGCTTTTATATAGACAGCATAACTACATCTATGGGCTTTATATAGCTAGCTACATCTATGGGCTTTTATATAGCTAACTACATCTATGGGCTTTTATATAGATAGCTACATCTATGGGCTTTTATATAGACAGCATAACTACATCTATGGGCTTTTATATAGATAGCTACATCTATGGGCTTTTATATAGACAGCATAACTACATCTATGGGCTTTTATATAGCTAGCTACATCTATGGGCTTTTATATAGCTAACTACATCTATGGGCTTTTATATAGATAGCTACATCTATGGGCTTTTATATAGATAGCTACATCTATGGGCTTTTATATAGATAGCATAACTACATCTATGGGCTTTTATATAGCTAACTACATCTATGGGCTTTTATATAGCTAGCTACATCTATGGGCTTTTATATAGCTAACTACATCTATGGGCTTTTATATAGACAGCATAACTAAATCTATGGGCTTTTATATAGCTAACTACATCTATCGGCTTTTATATAGATAGCTACATCTATGGGCTTTTATATAGCTAGCTACATCTATGGGCTTTTATATAGCTAGCCACATCTATGGGCTTTTATATAGACAGCATAACTACATCTATGGGCTTTTATATAGATAGCTACATCTATGGGCTTTTATATAGCTAGCTACATCTATGGGCTTTTATATAGCTAGCTACATCTATGGGCTTTTATATAGATAGCTACATCTATGGGCTTTTATATAGCTAGCTACATCTATGGGCTTTTATATAGACAGCATAACTACATCTATGGGCTTTTATATAGATAGCTACATCTATGGGCTTTTATATAGCTAACTACATCTATGGGCTTTTATATAGCTAGCCACATCTATGGGCTTTTATATAGATAGCTACATCTATGGGCTTTTATATAGCTAGCTACATCTATGGGCTTTTATATAGACAGCTACATCTATGGACTTTTATATAGCTAACTACATCTATGGGCTTTTATATAGATAGCTACATCTATGGGCTTTTATATAGCTAACTACATCTATGGGCTTTTATATAGCTAGCCACATCTATGGGCTTTTATATAGCTAGCTACATCTATGGGCTTTATATAGCTAGCTACATCTATGGGCTTTTATATAGCTAACTACATCTATGGGCTTTTATATAGCTAGCTACATCTATGGGCTTTTATATAGCTAACTACATCTATGGGCTTTATATAGCTAACTACATCTATGGGCTTTTATATAGCTAACTACATCTATGGGCTTTATATAGCTAGCTACATCTATGGGCTTTTATATAGCTAGCTACATCTATGGGCTTTTATATAGCTAACTACATCTATCGGCTTTTATATAGATAGCTACATCTATGGGCTTTTATATAGCTAGCTACATCTATGGGCTTTTATATAGATAGCTACATCTATGGGCTTTTATATAGCTAGCTACATCTATGGGCTTTTATATAGCTAGCTACATCTATGGGCTTTTATATAGCTAACTACATCTATGGGCTTTTATATAGCTAGCCACATCTATGGGCTTTTATATAGATAGCTACATCTATGGGCTTTTATATAGCTAGCTACATCTATGGGCTTTTATATAGACAGCTACATCTATGGACTTTTATATAGCTAACTACATCTATGGGCTTTTATATAGATAGCTACATCTATGGGCTTTTATATAGCTAACTACATCTATGGGCTTTTATATAGCTAGCCACATCTATGGGCTTTTATATAGCTAGCTACATCTATGGGCTTTTATATAGCTAACTACATCTATCGGCTTTTATATAGATAGCTACATCTATGGGCTTTTATATAGCTAGCTACATCTATGGGCTTTTATGTTTGTCTGTCGTGCGTAATGTGATGAAGCCTAAATATCATTTGCTTTTATTGGATAATTAACGGCGCAATCATGTCGACCAAAAGCTCTAATCACATCCAGACATTTATAGATTACATCCAGACATATACAGTGGCTTGCAAAAGTATTCACCCCACTTGGCATTTTTCCTATTTTGTTGCCTTACAACCTGGAATTAAAATTGATTTTTATTTTTTTTATTTTTTGGGGGGGTTGTATCATTTGATTTACACAACATGCTACCACTTTGAAGATGCAAAATATTTTTTATGGTGAAACAAGAAATAATAAATAAATAAAATATTGAGCGTGCATAACTATTCACCCCCCCAAAGTCAATACTTTGTAGAGCCACCTTTTGCAGCAATTACAGCTGCAAGTCTCTTGGGGTATGTCTCTATAAGCTTGGCACATCTAGCCACTGGGATTCAAGGCAAAACTGCTCCAGCTCCTTCAGGTTGGATGGGTTCCGCTGGTGTACAGCAATCTTTAAGTAATTCCACAGATTCTCAATTGAGGTCTGGGCTTGAACTAGGACATTCCAAGACATTTAAATGTTTCCCCTTAAACAACTTGAGTGTTGCTTTAGCAGTATGCTTAGGGTCATTTACCTGCTGGAAGGTGAACCTCCGTCCCAGTCTCAAATCTCTGGAAGACTGAAGCAGGTTTCCCTCAAGAATTTCCCTGTATTTAGCGCCATCCATCATTTCCCAGTCCCTGCCGATGGAAAAACATCCCCACAGCATGATGCTGCCTCCACCATGCTTCAATGGTGTTCTCGGGGTGATGAGAGGTGTTGGGTTTGCGCCTGACATAGCGTTTTCCTTTATGGCCAAAAAGCTCAATTTTAGTCTCATCTGACCAGAGTACCGTCTTCCATATGTTTGGGGAGTCTCCCACATGCCTTTTGGCGAACACCAAATGTGTTTGCTTATTATTTTCTTTAAGCAATGGCTTTTTTCTGCCCACTCTTCCGTAAAGCCCAGCTCTGTGGAGTGTACGGCTTAAAGTGGTCCTATGGACAGATACTCCAATCTCCGTGTGAAGCTTTGCAGCTCCTTCAGGGTTATCTTTGGTGTCTTTGTTGCCTCTCTGATTAATGCCCTCCTTGCCAGGTTTGTTGTGGTGCCATATTCTTTCCATTTTTTAATAATGGATTTTATGGTGCTCCGTGGGATGTTTAAAGTTTCAGATATTTTTTATAACCCAACCCTGATCTGTACTTCTCCACAACTTTGTTCCTGACCTGTTTGGAGAGCTCCTTGGTCTTCATGGTGCCGCTTTCTTGGTGGTGCCCCTTGCTTAGTGGTGTTGCAGACTCTCGGGCCTTTCAGAACAGATGTATATATACTGAGATCATGTGACAGATCATGTGACACTTAGATTGCACACAGGTGGACTTTATTTAACTAATTATGTGACTTCTGAAGGTAATTGGTTGCACCAGATCTTATTTAGGGGCTTCATAGCAAAGGGGGTGAATACGTATGCATGCACCACTTTTCCGTTATTTATTTTTTAGAATGTTCTGAAACAAGTTATTTTTTTCATTTCACTTCACCAATTTGGACTATTTTGTGTATGTCCATTACATGAAATCCAAATAAAAATCCATTAAAATTACAGGTTGTAATGCAACAAAATAGGAAAAACGCAAAGGGGGATGAATACTTTTGCAAGGCACTGTATCCTTTTAGAATGACCCTTCCGGTTTGGGTGGGAATACCGGGAGATACTCGAGAGAGAAAATTATAAAATACCGGGAAAACATTCAACCCTAATTGATAAACGCAGCTACTGCTCTGTTGGGCATCTTGAGTTCAATATCATTACTCTAGAATCAATCATACAATCAATCAGACAGTTTGTACCAATATAACAACATAATGGTCATTTATTTGAATGGTAAAAGACTATATTGATAAACTGGGTACATAAAGATGTAGGCTTATTCACATTACAGGTGAATGCATATTGAGTTCGTTTTGGGGTGAACATCTGTTTCCATTTGGGATTTATTTTATTGTACTGATCAACAACATTTGCAGAGAAGTAGTTTATGAAGTTTGAGTGTGAAAGATGGATGTCTTACTGATGAATGGCTATAGGCCTTATAATATTGTTAATTGGATGGATTAACCTCTACGGGATCGGTGATTGGATGGATTAACCTCTACGGGATCGGTGATTGGATGGATTAACCTCTACGGGATCGGTGATTGGATGGATTAACCTCTACAGGATCGGTGATTGGATGGATTAACCTCTACGGGATCGGTGATTGGATGGATTAACCTCTATGGGATCGGTGATTGGATGGATTAACCTCTACGGGATCGGTGATTGGATGGATTAACCTCTACGGGATCGGTGATTGGATGGATTAACCTCTACGGGATCGGTGATTGGATGGATTAACGGATGGCACTCTCAGCACCTGTTTCACCACCCCCTCTGACCATATCCCGTGCCTATAGAAAGTCCTACACCCCCTCTGACCATATCCCGTGCCTATAGAAAGTCCTACACCTCCCTGAATTTTTTTTCTAATTCTGCTGCCTTAAAATTACATCTAAAATGGGATTAAACTAGGGATTAAAACAATTCGCTCCACATTTTCAAAAGGGAAAGAAAGTTAACCAATGTAACCTCCCGAGTGGCGCAGTGGTCTAAGGCACTGCATCGCAGTGCTAGCTGTGCCACTAGAGATCCTGGTTTGAATCCAGGCTTTGTCGTAGCCGGCCGCGACCGGGAGACCCATGGGGCGGCGCACAATTGGCCCAGCGTCGTCCAGGGTAGGGGAGGGAATGGCCGGCAGGGATGTAGCTCAGTTGGTAGAGCATGGCGTTTGCAACGCCAGGGTTGTGGGTTTGATTCCCACGGGGGGCCAGTATGAAAAATACAAAAAATAATGTATGCACTCACTAACTAAGTCGCTCTGGATAAGAGCGTCCTGCTAAATGACTAAAATGTAAATGTAATGTCCAATAGACTGACTGGGGAGGTGATTTCTCTCAGTAAAAGTCCTGCAATAGGAGTCGTCCCAGTCAGTGTATTGGAATAATAGTATTGGACATATTGCAACGTATAGCCTGACATATGAAGTGTGCACCAATGAAATGTGGTATCAGCCTACTCAGTCACATCCACAGATTACAATTCCAAAGAGTTTACACAAATATTAGCATCATAGCTATTATTGCAGGACTTTACAGTCCAATATGAATATTCAATATGCACAATATTCCTTGGCGTACACATCACCGACAAACTGAAATGGTCCACCCACGCAGACAGTGTGGTGAAGAAGGCGCAACAGAACCTCTTCAACCTCAGGAGGAAGAAGAAATTTGGCCTGACACCTAAAACCCTCACAAACATTTACAGATGCCCAATTGAGAGCATCCTGTCGGGCTGTATCACCGCCTGGTACGGCAACTGCACTATTAGTCTACTATATCGTGAGTCTGCTTGGTTGGTTGCTGTCTCGTCACTCCCTGCCTCACCTGCAAGCGCAGCAATCCTCTCGCTTTATCAGCTCCCGTTAATAAAGTAGCTTCAAAAATGACTTTTCGGCTGTTTCCCTCACTCGGATCCGACCAGGTCCATACGGAACGGTTCTCTATATTTAAAAAATGTATTTATGCATATCGGGTCCGGGTGGGAAATTCCCAAGTGCACACTTAATTGTAACTCGTCTTCATGAACCTCACTATTCGTCCTTTTGTGCATATTGAATACTCATATTGGACTGCACAGGCTCACTACAGAGTACGCACTCATGAAATGGGCCATTAGCCTCCTCAGCCCACCAACAGATAACTATCCCATAGAGTTTACGCAGAGATTAGCGTCATAGCTATTATTGCAGGACTTTACAGTCCAGTATGAATGTTCAATACGCACATTAAGATTGTGTGGGGAGGTGACAGCAAAGTCCCGCAATAAAAGCTATAATTCTGTGTAAAATATTTGGGAGTTGTAATCGGTGGTTGCTACTCACTACGCTGGCCGTACATTGCAATATTACATTTCCAATACACAGACTGACAAGGAGATTTTTTTCAGTCAATTTCCTTGAACTAGAGACAATCCACTGCATCCTTCCTTCTCCATCTGAAATGCTGCATCCTTCCTTCTCCGTCTGAAATGCTACATCCTTCCTTCTCCGTCTGAAATGCTGCACCCACACGCTGCTTGTAGCTTTATAAACATATGTATCTGTATGTTCTCAAACCATGTTGTAGACATGTCAGCATTTCATTCAACAAACACCATGCTTATTGCGAGACTGCGGAAAATCACCTCACTATCCAGCCTGTTGCGCATATTGAACATTCATATACAGTGCTAAAAAATATATATATATACAGTGCATTCAGAAAGTATTCAGACCTTGACTTTATCCACAGTTAAATTTTTAGTCATTTAGCAGACGCTCTTATCCAGAGCGACTTACAGTTAGTGAGTGCATACATTTTTCATACTGGCCCCCCGTGGGAAACGAACCCACAACCCTGGCGTTGCAAGAGCCATGCTCTTCCAACTGAGCTACATTACCTTATTCTAAAATTGATTAAATTGTTTTTTCCCCCTCATCAATCTACACACAACACCCCATAATGACAAAGCAAAAACAGGTTTATAGATTTTTTGGGCAAAAAAAACCCCCGGATATAGTGGAGTCACATGATATTTAAATACTTGAGTAGATCAATCCTGCCTTTCTTTCCACTGGAACATCTAGGCCAGGGTTGCCCAACCCGGTTCCTGGAGAGATACCCTCCTGTAGGTTTTATCTCTAACCCTGTTCCTGTAGAGATACCCTCCTGTAGGTTTTAACTCCAACCCTGTTCCTGGAGAGATACCCTCCTGTAGGTTTTTAACTCTAACCCTGTTCCTGTAGAGATACCCTCCTGTAGGTTTTAACTCCAACCCTGTTCCTGGAGAGATACCCTCCTGTAGGTTTTTAACTCTAACCCTGTTCCTGGAGAGATACCCTCCTGTAGGTTTTAACTCCAACCCTGTTCCTGGAGAGATACCCTCCTGTAGGTTTTAACTCCAACCCTGTTCCTGGAGAGATACCCTCCTGTAGGTTTTAACTCCAACCCTGTTCCTGGAGAGATACCCTCCTGTAGGTTTTTAACTCTAACCCTGTTCCTGGAGAGATACCCTCCTGTAGGTTTTAACTCCAACCCTGTTCCTGGAGAGCTACCCTCCTGTAGGTTTTAACTCCAACCCTGTTCCTGGAGAGATACCCTCCTGTAGGTTTTGGGCTGTCTTGTCTCCAGGAACAGGGATGGGCAGGCCAGCCCTAGGGCAACAAACCAGTGGTAGCATGTTTGATGAGGAGGAGCCCTGCGTGTGGGTGTGACTGTCAGTGAGAACCAACCAATAACAGACAAGACGAGGGCGTTGCGTTTTTATAAACATTTATTCCTCTGTACATCTCCCCAGCAGCCGTCTAGATGATGCCAATCTGGAACACAAGACATGACAGGTGTTAGCCAGGCATCATAGGACTGTTATAAGGCGTCATAGTGCATTTATAAAGCATCACAAAGCAGGTGGTCTCTGGCATCAGTGGTTCCTTTGAGTCTGTCAGTATTCATCAGAAATTAAAATCATTCATCATCTGCTCAGAGCCTCTCCTGCAGTCCGATTGGACACCACACGTCTCCAACGCTATTGGCTGACAGTGAACAAAATGGGTGCATCTCAATACTCTCCAGTAGTCTCCTCTAAATGGCCTAGTGTCCTGTCTGTACAGATTTAAACAATTACTGCTGCAGTACTTGTTGTAGCGCTGAGTGGAAATAGGAAGAATGCGCATTTTATGGCTTATAAAAGTGTTGAATACAAAGTGTTGACAGCGCTGAGTAAGAACTTAAACATGAACTCACTCATAAAAACAGCAGCTCTTTGCTGTATTCGTTGACAGTCTCTCTCTAGTCGTGGTTTTAAACGTTTTGAAATCTCACAGTATCAACTTTGCTGTAGCTTTCTTTTACGCCTGCTACGTTACTGCAGACACGGTCATCTGAGCCATCCGATTGGCCAGCGGTGGGCCTATAGTGCACTTGATTTGCTCTCTGGGCCTGCTGGGAAGGCAGAGTTACTTGGCGCAGCGCCGCTGAACCACCAGGCCGAGACTAACAGAACAATAGGAATAAGGCTTTATCTTTGGGTTTTTACAGAAATGTTTGGAGACCGACCAGGACTGCCTACCGACCGAGACCGACCGGGACTGCCTCCGAGACCGACCGGGACTGACCCCGAGACCGACCGGGACTGCCTTCCGAGACCGACCGGGACTGCCTTCCGAGACCGACCGGGACTGCCTTCCGAGACCGACCGGGACTGCCTCCGAGACCGACCGGGACTGCCTCCGAGACCGACCGGGACTGCCTCCGAGACCGACCGGGACTGCCTTCCGAGACCGACCGGGACTGCCTTCCGAGACCGACCGGGACTGACCCCGAGACCGACCGGGACTGCCTCCGAGACCGACCGGGACTGCCTCCGAGACCGACCAGGACTGCCTCCGAGACCGACCCCGAGTGCCTCCGAGACCGACCGGGACTGCCTCCGAGACCGACCCCGAGTGCCTCCGAGACCGACCGGGACTGCCTCCGAGACCGACCCCGAGTGCCTCCGAGACCGACCGGGACTGCCTTCCGAGACCGACCGGGACTGCCTCCGAGACCGACTGGTTGGTGAACACTGCTCTAGAAACTGGTGCGTCTCTCTGTGGGCTGATATTTCTGTGGCAGCTACTGCACGCCCGAGCGCAGTTTAGAGGGAACATTTCCTACTACCATACCCCGTTCAAAAGGCACTTAAATCTTTTGTCTTGCCCATTCACCCTCTGAATGGCACATCTACACAATCCATGTCTCAACTGTCTCTAGGCTTTAAAATCCTTCTTTAACCCGTCTCCTCCCTTTCATCTACACTGATTGAAGTGGATTTAACAAGTGACATCAATAAGGGATCATAGCTTTCACCTGGTCAGTCTGTCATGGAAACAGCAGGTGTTCCTAATGTTCTGTAAACCCCGTATTAGGAACGGAGGGCCATTTGAGACGCGTTCTCATGAGAGGAGTCTTGTAGACTATTGAGATGCAGATCCTGCTGTTTCTGTCATAATACGGCTCTACTCTAGATCTCACCTTGTTGGCCACATCCAACGCATCGTAATCTGGAGCCAGACGGACATACGCCTTCTTCTCACCATCAGGCCTGGGGGGAGAGAGAGAGAAGGGAGAGGGGAGGGAGAGAGGGGAAGAGAGAGAGAGAAGAGAGAGGAGGAGAAGGAGAGAGGGGGAGGAGCGAGAGAGGGGGGAGGGAGAGAGAGGGGGGGAGGGAAGAGGATGAGAGGGGGAGGGAGAGAGAGAGGGGGAGGGAGAGAGAGGGGGGAGGAGAGAGAGGAGGGGAGAGAGAGAAGGATGATATTATTATTAATATTATGACCTCATGTATGTTGCAGCAGGTGTCAGTGGGGTAAATAATGTACTAGGTGGTAGCCACTAACTAAGTCAAGACCTTCTAATGTACTGGGTGGTAGCCACTAACTAAGTCAAGACCTTCTAATTGTACTAGGTGGTAGCCATTAACTAAGTCAAGACCTTCTAATGTACTGGGTGGTAGCCATTAACTAAGTCAAGACCTTCTAATGTACTAGGTGGTAGCCATTAACTAAGTCAAGACCTTCTAATGTACTGGGTGGTAGCCATTAACTAAGTCAAGACCTTCTAATGTACTAGGTGGTAGCCATTAACTAAGTCCCAAGACCTTCTAATGTACTGGGTGGTAGCCATTAACTAAGTCAAGACCTTCTAATGTACTGGGTGGTAGCCATTAAACTAAGTCAAGACCTTCTAATGTACTGGGTGGTAGCCATTAACTAAGTCAAAACCTTCTAATGTACTGAGGTGGTAGCCATTAACTAAGTCAAGACCTTCTAATGTACTGGTGGTAGCCATTAACTAAGTCAAGACCTTCTAATGTACTGGTGGTAGCCATTAACTAAGTCAGACCTTCTAATGTACTGGTGGTAGCCATTAACTAGTCAAGACCTTCTATGTACTGGGTGGTAGCCATTAACTAAGTCAAGACCTTCTAATGTACTAGGTGGTGGCCATTAACTAAGTCAAGACCTTCCTAATGTACTGGGTGGTAGCCATTAACTAAGTCAAGACCTTCTAATGTACTAGGTGGTGGCCATTAACTAATCAAGACCTTCTAATGTCTAGGTGGTAGCCATTACTAAGTCAATACCTTCTAATGTGACTGGGTGGTAGCCATTAACTAAGTCAAGACCTTCTAATGTACTAGGTGGTAGCCATTAACTAAGTCAAGACCTTCTAACGTACTAGGTGGTAGCCATTAACTAAGTCAAGACCTTCTAATGTACTAGGTGGTAGCCATTAACTAAGTCAAGACCTTCTAATGTACTGGGTGGTAGCCATTAACTAAGTCAAGACCTTCTAATGTACTAGGTGGTAGCCATTAACTAAGTCCAAGACCTTCTAATGTACTAGGTGGTAGCCATTAACTAAGTCAAGACCTTCTAATGTACTGGGTGGTAGCCATTAACTAAGTCAAGACCTTCTAATGTACTAGGTGGTAGCCATTAACTAGTCAATACCTTCTAATGTACTGGGTGGGTAGCCATTAACTAAGTCAAGACCTTCTAATGTACTGGGTGGTAGCCATTAACTAAGTCAAGACCTTCTAACGTACTAGGTGGTAGCCATTAACTAAGTCAAGACCTTCTAATGTACTGGGTGGTAGCCATTAACCAAGATCAAGACCTTCTAATGTACTGGGTGGTAGCCATTAACTAAGTCAAGACCTTCTAATGTACTAGGTGGTAGCCATTAACTAAGTCAAGACCTTCTAATGTACTGGGTGGTAGCCATTAACTAAGTCATGACCTTCTAATGTACTGGGTGGTAGCCATTAACTAAGTCAAGACCTTCTAATGTACTAGGTGGTAGCCATTAACTAAGTCAAGAACTTCTAATGTACTGGGTGGTAGCCATTAACTAAGTCAAGACCTTCTAATGTACTGGGTGGTAGCCATTACTAAGTCAAGACCTTCTAACGTACTAGGTGGTAGCCATTAACTAAGTCAAGACCTTCTAATGTACTAGGTGGTAGCCATTACACTAAGTCAAGACCTTCTAATGTACTGGGTGGTAGCCATTAACTAAGTCAAAGACCTTCTAATGTACTAGGTGGTAGCCATTAACTAAGTCAAGACCTTCTAATGTACTGGGTGGTAGCCATTAACTAAGTCAAGACCTTCTAATGTACTAGGTGGTAGCCATGAACCTAAGTCAAGACCTTCTAATGTACTGGGTGGTAGCCATTAACTAAGTCAAGACCTTCTAATGTACTAGGTGGTAGCCATTAACTAAGTCAAGACCTTCTAATGTACTGGGTGGTAGCCATTAACTAAGTCAAGACCTTCTAATGTACTGGGTGGTAGCCATTAACTAAGTCAAGACCTTCTAATGTACTAGGTGGTAGCCATTAACTAAGTCAAGACCTTCTAATGTACTGGGTGGTAGCCATTAACTAAGTCAAGACCTTCTAATGTACTGGGTGGTAGCCATTAACTAAGTCAAGACCTTCTAATGTACTAGGTGGTAGCCATTAACTAAGTCAAGACCTTCTAATGTACTGAGTGGTAGCCATTAACTAAGTCAAGACCTTCTAATGTACTGGGTGGTAGCCATTAACTAAGTCAAGACCTTCTAATGTACTAGGTGGTAGCCATTAACTAAGTCAAGACCTTCTAATGTACTGGGTGGTAGCCATTAACTAAGTCAAGACCTTCTAATGTACTGGGTGGTAGCCATTAACTAAGTCAAGACCTTCTAATGTACTAGGTGGTAGCCATTAACTAAGTCAAGACCTTCTAATGTACTGGTGGTAGCCATTAACAAGTCAAGACCTTCTAATGTACTGGGTGGTAGCCATTAACTAAGTCAAGACCTTCTAATGTACTGGGTGGTAGCCATTAACTAAGTCAATACCTTCTAATGTACTAGGTGGTAGCCATTAACTAAGTCAAGACCTTCTAATGTACTGGGTGGTAGCCATTAACTAAGTCAAGACCTTCTAATGTACTGGGTGGTAGCCATTAACTAAGTCAAGACCTTCTAATGTACTAGGTGGTAGCCATTAACTAAGTCAAGACCTTCTAATGTACTGGGTGGTAGCCATTAACTAAGTCAAGACCTTCTAATGTACTGGGTGGTAGCCATTAACTAAGTCAAGACCTTCTAATGTACTGGGTGGTAGCCATTAACTAAGTCAAGACCTTCTAATGTACTGGGTGGTAGCCATTAACTAAGTCAAGACCTTCTAATGTACTAGGTGGTAGCCATTAACTAAGTCAATACCTTCTAATGTACTAGGTGGTAGCCATTAACTAAGTCAAGACCTTCTAATGTACTGGGTGGTAGCCATTAACTAAGTCAAGACCTTCTAATGTACTGGGTGGTAGCCATTAACTAAGTCAAGACCTTCTAATGTACTGGGTGGTAGCCATTAACTAAGTCAAGACCTTCTAATGTACTGGGTGGTAGCCATTAACTAAGTCAATACCTTCTAATGTACTAGGTGGTAGCCATTAACTAAGTCAAGACCTTCTAATGTACTGGGTGGTAGCCATTAACTAAGTCAAGACCTTCTAATGTACTGGGTGGTAGCCATTAACTAAGTCAATACCTTCTAATGTACTAGGTGGTAGCCATTAACTAAGTCAAGACCTTCTAATGTACTAGGTGGTAGCCATTAACTAAGTCAAGACCTTCTAATGTACTGGGTGGTAGCCATTAACTAAGTCAAGACCTTCTAATGTACTGGGTGGTAGCCATTAACTAAGTCAAGGCCTTCTAATGTACTAGGTGGTAGCCATTAACTAAGTCAAGACCTTCTAATGTACTAGGTGGTAGCCATCAACTAAGTCAAGACCTTCTAATGTACTGGGTGGTAGCCATTAACTAAGTCAAGACCTTCTAATGTACTGGGTGGTAGCCATTAACTAAGTCAAGACCTTTTAATGTACTAGGTGGTAGCCATTAACTAAGTCAAGACCTTCTAATGTACTAGGTGGTAGCCATTAACTAAGTCAAGACCTTCTAATGTACTAGGTGGTAGCCATTAACTAAGTCAAGACCTTCTAATGTACTGGGTGGTAGCCATTAACTAAGTCAATACCTTCTAATGTACTAGGTGGTAGCCATTAACTAAGTCAAGACCTTCTAATGTACTGGGTGGTAGCCACTAACTAAGTCAAGACCTTCTAATGTACTGGGTGGTAGCCATTAACTAAGTCAAGACCTTCTAATGTACTGGGTGGTAGCCATTAACTAAGTCAAGACCTTCTAATGTACTAGGTGGTAGCCATTAACTAAGTCAAGACCTTCTAATGTACTAGGTGGTAGCCATGAACTAAGTCAAGACCTTCTAATGTACTGGGTGGTAGCCATTAACTAAGTCAAGACCTTCTAATGTACTAGGTGGTAGCCATTAACTAAGTCAAGACCTTCTAATGTACTAGGTGGTAGCCACTAACTAAGTCAAGACCTTCTAATGTACTGGGTGGTAGCCATTAACTAAGTCAAGACCTTCTAATGTACTAGGTGGTAGCCATTAACTAAGTCAATACCTTCTAATGTACTGGGTGGTAGCCACTAACTAAGTCAAGACCTTCTAATGTACTGGGTGGTAGCCATTAACTAAGTCAAGACCTTCTAATGTACTAGGTGGTAGCCATTAACTAAGTCAAGACCTTCTAATGTACTAGGTGGTGGCCATTAACTAAGTCAAGACCTTCTAATGTACTGGGTGGTAGCCATTAACTAAGTCAAGACCTTCTAATGTACTAGGTGGTGGCCATTAACTAAGTCAAGACCTTCTAATGTACTAGGTGGTAGCCATTAACTAAGTCAAGACCTTCTAATGTACTGGGTGGTAGCCATTAACTAAGTCCAAGACCTTCTAATGTACTAGGTGGTAGCCATTAACTAAGTCAAGACCTTCTAACGTACTAGGTGGTAGCCATTAACTAAGTCAAGACCTTCTAATGTACTAGGTGGTAGCCATTAACTAAGTCAAGACCTTCTAATGTACTGGGTGGTAGCCATTAACTAAGTCAAGACCTTCTAATGTACTAGGTGGTAGCCATTAACTAAGTCAAGACCTTCTAATGTACTAGGTGGTAGCCATTAACTAAGTCAAGACCTTCTAATGTACTGGGTGGTAGCCATTAACTAAGTCAAGACCTTCTAATGTACTAGGTGGTAGCCATTAACTAAGTCAATACCTTCTAATGTACTGGGTGGTAGCCATTAACTAAGTCAAGACCTTCTAATGTACTGGGTGGTAGCCATTAACTAAGTCAAGACCTTCTAACGTACTAGGTGGTAGCCATTAACTAAGTCAAGACCTTCTAATGTACTGGGTGGTAGCCATTAACTAAGTCAAGACCTTCTAATGTACTGGGTGGTAGCCATTAACTAAGTCAAGACCTTCTAATGTACTAGGTGGTAGCCATTAACTAAGTCAATACCTTCTAATGTACTGGGTGGTAGCCACTAACTAAGTCAAGACCTTCTAATGTACTGGGTGGTAGCCATTAACTAAGTCAAGACCTTCTAATGTACTAGGTGGTAGCCATTAACTAAGTCAAGACCTTCTAATGTACTAGGTGGTGGCCATTAACTAAGTCAAGACCTTCTAATGTACTGGGTGGTAGCCATTAACTAAGTCAAGACCTTCTAATGTACTAGGTGGTGGCCATTAACTAAGTCAAGACCTTCTAATGTACTAGGTGGTAGCCATTAACTAAGTCAAGACCTTCTAATGTACTGGGTGGTAGCCATTAACTAAGTCAAGACCTTCTAATGTACTAGGTGGTAGCCATTAACTAAGTCAAGACCTTCTAACGTACTAGGTGGTAGCCATTAACTAAGTCAAGACCTTCTAATGTACTAGGTGGTAGCCATTAACTAAGTCAAGACCTTCTAATGTACTGGGTGGTAGCCATTAACTAAGTCAAGACCTTCTAATGTACTAGGTGGTAGCCATTAACTAAGTCAAGACCTTCTAATGTACTAGGTGGTAGCCATTAACTAAGTCAAGACCTTCTAATGTACTGGGTGGTAGCCATTAACTAAGTCAAGACCTTCTAATGTACTAGGTGGTAGCCATTAACTAAGTCAATACCTTCTAATGTACTGGGTGGTAGCCATTAACTAAGTCAAGACCTTCTAATGTACTGGGTGGTAGCCATTAACTAAGTCAAGACCTTCTAACGTACTAGGTGGTAGCCATTAACTAAGTCAAGACCTTCTAATGTACTGGGTGGTAGCCATTAACCAAGTCAAGACCTTCTAATGTACTGGGTGGTAGCCATTAACTAAGTCAAGACCTTCTAATGTACTAGGTGGTAGCCATTAACTAAGTCAAGACCTTCTAATGTACTGGGTGGTAGCCATTAACTAAGTCATGACCTTCTAATGTACTGGGTGGTAGCCATTAACTAAGTCAAGACCTTCTAATGTACTAGGTGGTAGCCATTAACTAAGTCAAGACCTTCTAATGTACTGGGTGGTAGCCATTAACTAAGTCAAGACCTTCTAATGTACTGGGTGGTAGCCATTAACTAAGTCAAGACCTTCTAACATACTAGGTGGTAGCCATTAACTAAGTCAAGACCTTCTAATGTACTAGGTGGTAGCCATTAACTAAGTCAAGACCTTCTAATGTACTGGGTGGTAGCCATTAACTAAGTCAAGACCTTCTAATGTACTAGGTGGTAGCCATTAACTAAGTCAAGACCTTCTAATGTACTGGGTGGTAGCCATTAACTAAGTCAAGACCTTCTAATGTACTAGGTGGTAGCCATGAACTAAGTCAAGACCTTCTAATGTACTGGGTGGTAGCCATTAACTAAGTCAAGACCTTCTAATGTACTAGGTGGTAGCCATTAACTAAGTCAAGACCTTCTAATGTACTGGGTGGTAGCCATTAACTAAGTCAAGACCTTCTAATGTACTGGGTGGTAGCCATTAACTAAGTCAAGACCTTCTAATGTACTAGGTGGTAGCCATTAACTAAGTCAAGACCTTCTAATGTACTGGGTGGTAGCCATTAACTAAGTCAAGACCTTCTAATGTACTGGGTGGTAGCCATTAACTAAGTCAAGACCTTCTAATGTACTAGGTGGTAGCCATTAACTAAGTCAAGACCTTCTAATGTACTGAGTGGTAGCCATTAACTAAGTCAAGACCTTCTAATGTACTGGGTGGTAGCCATTAACTAAGTCAAGACCTTCTAATGTACTAGGTGGTAGCCATTAACTAAGTCAAGACCTTCTAATGTACTGGGTGGTAGCCATTAACTAAGTCAAGACCTTCTAATGTACTGGGTGGTAGCCATTAACTAAGTCAAGACCTTCTAATGTACTAGGTGGTAGCCATTAACTAAGTCAAGACCTTCTAATGTACTGGGTGGTAGCCATTAACTAAGTCAAGACCTTCTAATGTACTGGGTGGTAGCCATTAACTAAGTCAAGACCTTCTAATGTACTAGGTGGTAGCCATTAACTAAGTCAAGACCTTCTAATGTACTGGGTGGTAGCCATTAACTAAGTCAAGACCTTCTAATGTACTGGGTGGTAGCCATTAACTAAGTCAAGACCTTCTAATGTACTAGGTGGTAGCCATTAACTAAGTCAAGACCTTCTAATGTACTGGGTGGTAGCCATTAACTAAGTCAAGACCTTCTAATGTACTGGGTGGTAGCCATTAACTAAGTCAAGACCTTCTAACGTACTAGGTGGTAGCCATTAACTAAGTCAAGACCTTCTAATGTACTAGGTGGTAGCCATTAACTAAGTCAAGACCTTCTAATGTACTGGGTGGTAGCCATTAACTAAGTCAAGACCTTCTAATGTACTAGGTGGTAGCCATTAACTAAGTCAAGACCTTCTAATGTACTGGGTGGTAGCCATTAACTAAGTCAAGACCTTCTAATGTACTAGGTGGTAGCCATGAACTAAGTCAAGACCTTCTAATGTACTGGGTGGTAGCCATTAACTAAGTCAAGACCTTCTAACGTACTAGGTGGTAGCCATTAACTAAGTCAAGACCTTCTAATGTACTGGGTGGTAGCCATTAACTAAGTCAAGACCTTCTAATGTACTAGGTGGTAGCCATTAACTAAGTCAAGACCTTCTAATGTACTGGGTGGTAGCCATTAACTAAGTCAAGACCTTCTAATGTACTAGGTGGTAGCCATGAACTAAGTCAAGACCTTCTAATGTACTGGGTGGTAGCCATTAACTAAGTCAAGACCTTCTAATGTACTAGGTGGTAGCCATTAACTAAGTCAAGACCTTCTAATGTACTGGGTGGTAGCCATTAACTAAGTCAAGACCTTCTAATGTACTGGGTGGCCAGGTCAGACCAGCAGGCAGGACAGTACCCATTGAGTCTAATAGTTAGATGTCAGTACCTTATTTAGGCTAGTAATGGTCTAATATCAGGATTATATTACATACCTGATTAGTTAGGGTTAGTTAGGGGCATAGGGGTAGTGTTGACCTTGGCTAGGGTTAGTTAGGGGCATAGGGGTAGTGTTGACCTTGGCTAGGGTTAGTTAGAGGCATAGGGGTAGTGTTGACCTTGGCTAGGGTTAGTTAGAGGCATAGGGGTAGTGTTGTACCTGATGAGTGTGTTGACCTTGGCCACATCGATGTCGTAGAGCTTCTTGACGGCGTGTTTGATCTGGTGCTTGTTGGCCTTGACATCAACGATGAAGACGAGGGTGTTGTTGTCCTCGATCTTCTTCATGGCCGACTCTGTCGTCAAAGGGAACTTAATGATGGCATAGTGGTCCAACCTGAGGGGGAAGAGGGGGGGAGTGAGAGAAGAGGGGAGAGGGGAGAAAGCGAGAGGGGGGAGAGAGAGAGGGGGAAAACTCATGGTCATTAGATCACCAAACTTTAACACTGCGACCCAACCTAAGCCCTTCAAATGTCCTGCGCCCCACCGCTATGTTTTAGTCTGTTTCTCTAAGGTGCATCAGTGGTTTATAAGGATGGAATCATGGGATATCATACTTTGATCGCTGTTACCATCATTTGCACCCCGAGCAGAGAAACTAACCTGGACTAAACCGTAAAATGTCACTGACAGCCATTTTTACGACGACTTAATAAAATACAAGAATCCACAACAGATGGTCTGTACACGTGGCTACTGTACCGACCTATCAGCATTCTTACTGTTGTGTAGGACTTACTTGTTCCTGCGAGGGGCGCTCTTGCGGGGGTACTTGGGTTGTCTGCGGAGGCGCAGGGTTTTGGGGCGGCGGAAGGTTGGAGACGTTCTGATCTTCTTCTTCCTCTGGCTGTGGACTCCCTTCAGAACAGCCTTCTTGGCCTTCAGGGCCTTCACCTTGGCCTCGGTCTTGGCAGGGACAGCTACAGGGAGAGATAAGACGTTCCAACTGGGTTTAGGCAGGGACAGCTACAGGGGGAGATATGTTAAAGAGAGGGTTTATAAACTAAAGCAGATTAATTTGTCATCCTAAATCACAACACTGTTACACATCTGACACATCCATATGTCAAAATAATTTGCGCGGCATTGCAGTAAGCAACCAATGAGTCTTCACCCGGCCAGTGTGCTGTAAACACCTGCATCAGACATCCCCACCACGGGCAAGAATGCAAATTAACTACACCAGTGCAGTACTCTGTCCAAGGTCGAGCAACGTTTGTAATGCAACGGTAACAGTAAAACGGTGTGGTTGAGGTTTTGTGAATCAGTTCTACAGGTCATTTCATATCAAGCTTTGATCGCTTAAAAAAAAAAAAATATCACACACACACCTTCTATACTTAATTTAAAACGCAACAATATTACTGAGTTACAGTTCATATAAGGAAATCAGTCAATTTAAACAATTGAGAAACAAATGTAATTCTGGTACATGGACATTTAAGCTAGGACCACTTTTGATGCGTCAGGCTGCTGTCATAATATACTGAACTAAAATATAAACGCAACACGTAAAGTGTTGGCCTCACGAGGTAAAATAAAAGATCCCAGACATTTTTCATGCACAAAAAGTGTATTTCTCTCAAATGTTGTACACAAATGTGTTTACATCCCTGTTAGTGAGCATTTCTCCTTTGCCAAGATAATCCATCCACCTGACAGGTGTGGCATATCAAGAAGCTGATTAAACAGCATGATCATTACACAGGTGCACCTTGTGCTGGGGACAATAAGGCCTCTAAAATGTGCAGTTTTGTCACAACACCACAGATGTCTCAAGTTTTGAGGGAGTGTGTAATTGGCATGCTGACTGCAGGAATGTCCACCAGAGCTGTTGCCAGATAATTGAATGTTCATTTCTCTACCATAAGCCACCAATGTCGTAGAGAATTTGGCAGTATGTCCAACTGGCCTCACAACCGCAGACCACGTGTAACCATGCCAGCCCAGGACCTCCACATCCGGCTTCTTCACCTACAGGGATCGTCTGAGACCAGCCACTCGGATGGCTGATGAAACTGAGGAGTACTTAGGTCTGTAATAAAGCCCTTTTGTGGGGATAAAAACGTATTCTGATTGGCTGGGCAGAGGCGCAGCCGTGGGTGGGCCTGGGAGGGCATAGCCCCACCCACTGTGGAGCCAGGCCCACCCACGGCTGCGCCTCTGCCCAGTCATGTGAAATCCAAAAATGTGGGCCTAATGAATTTATTTCAATTGACTGATTTCCTTATATGAACTGTAACTCAGTAAAATCATTGAAATGGTTGCATTTATATTTTGGTTCAGTAGTTTCGCGATTTACAAGCGAAGGTCTTAATGATGTATGCGAGCACAGCATGTTCGCGTCGCCTAGCAGAGTTCAGCTAGGAGAAAAATCAAACCTAGTTTGCAGCGCTATACCTAAAGCCTTGGACACACCGGTTGTGTCAGACTGTATGCATTTCGGCACAAGTACATTCATTTCATTGGGAGGCAATCTGCACCACTGCGACTCATCTGCCAGACTAGTGCCTTGATCACACCTACAGCGTCATGGTACACCAGAACATAGAAGTACATTCGTTTGCAATAGAATGCTGCGTTTTTTTTAGTATAGTTCAGCAGCATTGCGTTGCAGAGGCAGTTGCAGTGTGTTCTGCATTCGTTGGATTGATTGTATGCGTAGACGGCTTGACACAAATGGTAGCAGAAAGTGAATGTTGAACTGGTTGCACACATCCAGATGCTTCCATTTAGCACAATGGCGCTTTAGGTGTGATGGAGGAGTAGGTTACAGTGCGTCGCTGTGTCGCATGCTTTCATATTGTGCGTTGCTTTGACGTGCAAACATTTTTACATTACATTTTAGTCATTTAGCAGACGCTCTTATCCAGAGCGACTTACAGTTAGTGAGTGCATACATTATTATTTTTCATACTGGCCCACCGTGGGAATTCGAACCCACAACCCTGGCGTTGCAAACGCCATGCTCTACCACCTGAGCTACATCCCTGCCGGCCATTCCCTCCCCATACCCTGGACGACGCTGGGCCAATTGTGCGCCGCCCAATGGGTCTCCCGGTCTCAGCTGGCTACGACAGAGCCTGGATTCGAACCAGGATCTCTAGTGGCACAGCTAGCACTGCGATGCAGTGCCTTAGACCAATATTTGAGAGGACTCTCTTCTACCAGTTAATATTGGAGAGGACTCTCTTCTACCAGTTAATATTGGAGAGGACTCTGTTCTACCAGTTAATATTGGAGAGGACTCTCTTCTACCAGTTAATATTGGAGAGGACTCTCTTCTACTACCAGTTAATATTGGAGAGGACTCTCTTCTACCAGTTAATATTGGAGAGGACTCTCTTCTACCAGTTAATATTGGAGAGGACTCTCTTCTACCAGTTAATATTGGAGAGGACTCTCTTCTACCAGTTAATATTGGAGAGGACTCTCTTCTACCAGTTAATACTGGAGGACTCTGTTCTACCAGTTAATATTGGAGAGGACTCCGTTCTACCAGTTAATATTGTGAAACAATATTAATTAAATTGGCAGTCGTTGCAGCCAATAAAAGCACAGTATGGAAGCGTGCAACTGGCTCTGCAACGCTCCTTTGGAAATGAACGTACTTCTGGTTCACCAAAACGCATCGGCCCTGTCGGTGTGATCGAGGCGTTACTACCGGCCACGCTGTCAAGACGGCCCCAACAAAAAAAACGTGACGAATTAAAATTACTTACACCACACAAGGGCTGCAATCACTAACGTTAGCTCAAACTTATGGATGTGAGAAATTGTATTCCGCTGAATTAAATAGCAGCGATTGTTCCAGCGAACAGGCTAGCTAGCTAGCTAGCTAGCATCGCCAGACAGTCGGTGACTACTTAATACATTTCGCGACTTTTGGACAGATAAAATAACTATGTACGTCTGTTACGTCCAACGATTGCAAAGAACATATATTCACATTTGCATACGTGTACAAACAACATGCGTAGCTCTTCATTTTTAAGTGATTTTACGCGAAAACAATGTACGGCTTCACAGACCTTCCTTCTTCGCCTTCGGTGCCATGTTGAGAAAGGGAGAGCGCTGGGGGTTTCCGCGGCTATAATACAGGGGCGAGACAACGCCACTCATATCGCGATACTGGCGAACTGCATCATGGTACTTTGTAGCGTCAGAATATGGATATACATGAGCTGCGGTCCAAACACGTTATTTCTACATTTACATTTTAGTCATTTAGCAGACGCTCTTGTTCCATACTGGCCCCCCGTGGGAAACGAACCCACATCCCTCCCCTACCTTGGACGACGCTGGGCCAATTGTGCGCCGCCCATGGGTCTCCTGGTCGCGACCGGCTATGACAGAGCCTGGACTCGAACCAGGATCTCTAGTAGCGCAGCTAGCACTGCGATGCAGTGCCTTAGACCACTGCGCCACTACTCCCTCAGCCATCTTGCTAGCCACTTTCCATCGAAATCGGATGCAGTTGGATTGCCATCTTAAGTGGAGGTCCAATTCACAAACGTTGCCACCTCAGACCTCGATTTAGCAAGCGATGACCTTTGATATTGTGGGGTTGATATGGTATATGTGGTCCTCTGTAGCTCAATTGGTAGAGTATGGCGCTTGTAACGCCAGGGTAGTGGGGTTCGATCCCCGGGACCACCCATACGTAAAAATTTATGCACACATGACTGTAAGTTGCTTTGGATAAAAGCATCTGCTAAATGGCATATGATTATTATTATATGACCCGCAATTCAACGCAAACTGTGGTCACGTGTCAAACTCGGTGGCCACGAAGTGTCAAATTTAATCAACGCTGCATTTTCGGCATGTTAGACAAAATTATGACGCTAGCTTGCAAAAAAAGTTAATATATAGATGACATTGATTTTAGCGTTGGCAAATTGGCTTAGTCTGTGAGGAGCCTATAAAATGTAGCTAGCTTCATAAACTAATATTATAAGGAGAGACCCATGGGGCGGCGCACAATTCGTCCAGGGTAGGAGAGGGAATGGCCGGCAGGGATGTAGCTCAGTTGGTAGAGCATGGCGTTTGCAACGCCAGGGTTGTGGGTTCAATTCCCACGGGGGGCCAGTATGAAAAAATAAATTAAAAAAATAACGTATGCACTCACTAACTGTAAGTCGCTCTGGATAAGATCGTCTGCTAAAATGTAAATGAGAGTGATAGAGTACTGCATCAGATGGCAGAGTGAAGGAAAAGCAGCCAACAAGTGCTCAGCATATGTGGGAACTCCTTCAAGACGGTTGGAAAAGCATTCCAGGTGAAGCTGGTAGAGAGAATGCCAAGAGTGTGCAAAGCTGTCATCAAGGCAAAGGGTGGCTATTTGAATATATATATATAAAATATTGTTTCATTTGTTTAACATTTTTTGGTTACTACATGATTCCATATGTGTTATTTCATAGTTTTGATGTCTTCACTATTATTCTACAATGTAGAAAATAGTACAAATAAAGAAAAACCCTGGAATGAGTAGGTGTGTCCAAACCTTTGACCGGTAGTGTACATCAGACATATATCAGCTTGTCTGTATGAAAGGCAGCAATGAGTTTCAGGGCATGTTTGCGTTTACCAAATCTTAATGATTGCATAAAAATATCAAGCTCTCGTTCAAAAATCGTTAATAAGGGGGTAGTTTTCAAAAAAAAAAAAATCTACATTTGTGTATAAAGAATTTGGCTAATACAATTAAATTATTGATCAGGAAATTGAAACCGCCTGTATTCAATGGAGAGAGATGCTATACTACTAGCCTCATGCCATGAATATGCATAGCCTTCTCGAGACAACTCCAATAGTGTTTTTTCTCAAAATTGCCGGGATGTCACGTGTCCTACTTATAGCAGTACACTCATTACAACTGAAGTATTACAAAACTTCTATTAGATCAAATAAACCTTTTTTATAGCAAATAACCCATTCATTATTTTGTAGACCAAATTCGACCTCCATACAAAAACTACTAAAACAAACACCACCTGCTGGACGGATTTTCAGCCGAGTTGAGCCTCGCTTCCTCTTCGATAACAATTCTCCAAGATTTCATTTTATTGTCCTCATGTCGACAGAAATTCTCACAGCCCATTGGACACTCAAGTACACAAGTGGTGAAGTGTAGACAAGGACATGTACCTGTCATTTGGTTAAGGTCATTTGGTTAAGGTCATTTGGTTAAGGTCATTTGGTTAAGGTCATTTGGTTAAGGGACATTTGGTTAAGGTACAAGGTACACTGCTTTGGAACAATGGAAAAAAATAAACGAATAAGCTTTATACTAGACAGATGAAATTCATATTACATTTTCCCTCCATTTTATTATAGTCACATTGCATATTTCATAAATCAATCCAATGCTTTTACATCCTTGACAGGGAGTGAACCAGGGCACACGTCATGGAGAAGGAAGGGGGAGAAATTAGCCCTCAGAAAGAGTCAGTAAACAGGTCTCTGGACCAATCACATGCTTCGTTCTCCTCGTGGAGGGAGGGGCTGACAGACCTACTGTCTCCTGGCTGCTGGTTGGCTAAACCCTCTGTCTGTCCCTCTGTCAGTGTCTGGTGAATATGTGTAGATCTCCTGTTCTCTCCCTCCCCCCCAGTGGTCCTCCCTCTGTCCTCTCTCTCTCCCCCTGTGGTCCTCCCTCTGTCCTCTCTCTCTCCCCCTGTGGTCCTCCCTCTGTCCTCTCTCTCTCCCCCTGTGGTCCTCCCTCTGTCCTCTCTCTCTCCCCCTGTGGTCCTCCCTCTGTCCTCTCTCTCTCCCCCTGTGGTCCTCCAACTGTCCTCTCTCTCTCCCCCAGCCTGCTGTCGGTCTGTCCTTGTGGAGCACCAGGGTCTCTGAGTGGGAGAGATCACCTCACTGTTGTCACACACATCCACACTACCGGTCCTTCTCCCCCCAGGTGATCTCTTCAGAGCTCTTCCCGTTAACCTCTGACACTGCAGAGCTAGTACATAGTCTCTGGGCTCTGGCTGCCGGGGTCTCTTGGGGTGTGAGAGTCCTTTAGCTGTGTGTGAGAGTCCTTTAGGTGTGTGTGAGAGTCCTTTAGGTGTGTGTGAGAGTCCTTTAGGTGTGTGTGAGAGTCCTTTAGGTGTGTGTGAGAGTCCTTTAGGTGTGTGTGAGAGTCCTTTAGGTGTGTGTGAGAGTCCTTTAGGTGTGTGTGAGAGTCCTTTAGGTGTGTGTGAGAGTCCTTTAGGTGTGTGTGTTTGGGTGTTGCTGGGTGTGTGTGTTTGGGTGTTGCTGGGTGTGTGTGTTTGGGTGTTGCTGGGTGTGTGTCGCTGGGCTCTGAGCCGTAGTGTGTGTGGTGGAGCAGTCTTCCTGATGATGGGAGTCGACTGGGACAAAGGGACCCAGTCACAACACTCTGAAGGTGTGTCCATGTGTGAGTCCGTGTTGGGTGTGTGTGAGTCCGTGTTGGGTGTGTGTGAGTCCGTGTTGGGTGTGTGTGAGTCCGTGTTGGGTGTGTGTGAGTCCGTGTTGGGTGTGTGTGAGTCCGTGTTGGGTGTGTGTGAGTCCGTGTTGGGTGTGTGTGAGTCCGTGTTGGGTGTGTGTGAGTCCGTGTTGGGTGTGTGTGAGTCCGTGTTGACGCTGGTCTGAGAGAAGTGGAAGAGGTCAGCTGAACAGTTATAAGTCTCTTCCAGGTCAGCTGTGTGTCCAGGTGACCGAGGGCGGAGGCCTCTGTGGGTCAGCTGTTCAACATTAGGAACGTCCAGTAGAGTTCTGTGTGATGTGGGGCTTGCCTCTGTGTCTCTCTGGGCAGTAGACAGGTTTCTCCCCACAGGGCTGGTCTGGGCCTGATGGTCAGTTGGTGTCCGTGTCTCGGTGTCTGCAGGATCCCAGACAAACTCCCCCAGACACTCAGAGAAGGGCAGGTCTTCCCAGGCCACACAGTCCGATAGACAGGTCTGTTCACACTCTGACCTGCACTCCTCCTCCGTGTCTGAAACACCCATCTTCCTCAGGCTGGATGGTGCAGTCCGTATATGGCCAGGCTGTGTTGGAGCGGTCCACGTGAGAGAGGCAGGGGGGTGAACAGGGGAGTCAGGGCCTTCACAGAAAGAGGACAGAACATCCCAGTAGCTGTTCCTACTGTGTCCTCCCTCCCCCTGCCTGCTGTTCCTACTGTGTCCTCCCTCCCCCTGGCTGCTGTTCCTACTGTGTCCTCCCTCCCCCTGGCTGCTGTTCCTACTGTGTCCTCCCTCCCCCTGCCTGCTGTTCCTACTGTGTCCTCCCTCCCCCTGGCTCGGTCCGTGGGGCGAGGTGGAGACTTCCTCCTCTCTCTCTCCCTCCTCACAGACAGTCAGCCACCGAGACACAGTAGGGGCTCTCTGTCTCCCTGTGACCTCCCCCCCACCCTCAGAGCTACACCCCTCCTCTTCCTCCTGTTCTGCAGACGACGTGATCACCCCCGGAGACCGTTGCCAGGGTGCTGTGTGTATGAAGGTCGAGGTTGGGGTGAGGGTTAAGGTGCGATGCAGTGACAGGGATCGGCCACAGGAGGGCAGTGTAGAGTTGAAGCTGCAGAGAGGAGAGGGGTGGAGCAGGAGAGGCGCTGTACTGGTGTCAGCGCTGGGCTGGGGAGCTGTTGCCCAGTCAGCGCAGAGAGCAGCTTGCTGTAGGAGGGTTCTGTAGTAACTGACCACCGAGCAGCCTGGAGCAGAGTCCAGGGGCAGAGAGATCTGACAGGCGATGAACTGGCCTGACTCTCTCCTGTAGGGGAGGGGGCCAGATATCTGCACCAGAGACATCACAACATAGCTGGATGGAATGACACAATACAACCTCCAATCATACTACTTGGGGAACACTGGCATCATTTTGTAATAGTTGATATAATGTAATAAAAGCCAGGTGGTTTCCTTTCTCATGTTGTAATAGTTGATATAATGTAATAAACAGCCAGGTGGTTTCCTTTCTCATGTTGTAATAGTTGATATAATGTAATAAAAGCCAGGTGGTTTCCTTTCTCATGAGACAGTTGAGATGTTTGATCTAAAGCCCATAAATCATAACCATGACGATTCATTAGTGTTGTACCTTGATCCCAAAAACAAAATGTCTTCCAATGAAACAGTCCTCCACGGCCTTAACCAGCAGCCTGGTCCGACATCCTGACCTCTGACCGCCACCTCCCATTGGACCTGAAGACTCCTCCACCAGCCTGGACACACACAGACACACACACACACACAGACACACACAGACACACAGACACACAC